GAGTCTCCTTCTCCCTCTGACCCTCCTTCCTCTCATGCTCTCTGTCTCTCATTCTCTCTCTCTTAAATAAATAAATAAAATCTTTAAAAAAAAAAAAAAAGAATTAAAGATCTAAAGTAGGTGGTTGACCTATGTTAAATCAAGATAATAGGTGGTTTTTGTATTCTCTATATTTTTCTGTATGCTTAAGATAGTTTATAATTAAAAAGGAAAGTTTCAAATCTAGCAAGATGTAATGAGGAGTCATACAAATACTTTTTTTCCCCTTCCTTTCCTGTATGTATGTTTTTGCTTGTTTGTTTTCCTTTTTCTTGCCTTATTGCATGGGTGAGAATCCCCAGTATAGTATTCAGTAAGAATGCCAGAGTATACATTCTTGCCTACTTCCTGATTTTGGGAGAAAAACATTCAGTCTTTCATCATTATGTTAGTGGTAGGTTTTTTGTAGATGTCCCTTATCAAGTTGAGGACATTACCTTCTATTCCTAATTTGTGGAGAGGTTTTTAAATGGATGTTGAATTTTGTGAAATTCTCTTCCTGTATCTATTAAAATGATCCCATGGTTTTTCTTCTTTAGTTCAATATAGTGAATTATATTTATTGCTTTTTGAATGCTGAACCAATTTTGTATGCCTGAGATAATCCCCTCTTACTCCTGTCATGATGTGTTATTCTATTTATTGCTGGACTATTTGCTAAAATTTTGTTAAGTAATTTTTAGTCTGCGTTCATGAGAGATACTGGTCTGTTTTTTCTTGTGATGTCATGCAACATAATGTCTTTGTATGGTTTTGATAACAATGTAATGCTGGGCCTGATAGGGTGGATTTGAAAGTGTTTCTGCAAGAATTTGTGTAGAACTTTTGAGAAGAGTTTGTATAGAATTGGTATTATTTTTTACTTAAATGTGTGGTAGTATTCACGCTGATGTCACCTGGGCCTGGAGTTTTCTTTTTCTTAAAAAAGATTTTATTTATTTATTTATTTTAGAGAGAGGGAGCTCCTGGAGAGGGGAGAGAGGCTGAGGGGGAGGGGGAGGGAGAGGGAAAGAATACCAAGCAGACTCCATCCTGAGCACAGAGCCCCATGTGGGGCTTGATCCCACAACCCCAAGATCAGAACCTGAGCCTAAATCAAGAGAGGGACACTTTCCTCACTGAGCCTCCCAAACACCCCTGGGCAGGGAGTTTTCTTTATGGAAACATTTTTTTTTTTTTTTTAAAGATTTTATTTATTTATTTGACAGAGACATAGCGAGAGAGGGAGCACAAGCAGAGGGAGTGGGAGAGGGAGAAGGAGAAGCAGGCTTCCCATGGAGCAGGGAGCC